AGGAAAGAAGCCAGCAGTGGTAGGACCTTGGGGTTGACCTTGGCTGCTTTAAAAACACAGTAGTTGGGAAGATAATTGTCTGATGTCATGGCTGATCACCTCGAGTGCTTGAGGTCGGAGAGCATTTGGGTAGATAAAGCTGTGTGCTTCTCCCTTCCCATTGACTCTTTTAGTCTCCATTCCAGCACCATAGCACTGACGGTTGGTTGCTTTAAGCCTAATGGCGCTGATTTACTGGAAGTCTCTTCCGTACGCTGGCACTGGTGCTGCAGGGAATATCATTATTATTATGTACTTTCATGGATATTTTCAGTGGACTTTAGCAAAGGCCCTATCAGGATCTGCCAGGCTTGACTACATTTTTGAGTGCAAGATCAATGGTGCCCTTTGTCTGTCTGGTGATTAGGGGACAGCACTCTCTGTCAACTCTGCAATAGATGCCACCGGGCGCTCCGCAGGGAGCGCGATCATCAATTGAGAGTTTGCAAGTCCGGTCAGAAGTCCGTCTGCAACTTTTAAAAAGCCTTAAGTTACTTAAAAAAGTCCCTGGGACAAGTTAAAATGTATTTGTTGAGATCTTTTTCTTCTCTCTTTCCATGGTCTATTACCAGGTATCGGTGCAGTTCACAGGGCCTAGAGCAATGCTTCTCAGGCTAATTGTGAGGAAGAAGCAGAATTTTGCAAATGTTTTATCCCTTTGCATATTTATACTTTTGTAGTACACTACAAAAGTATTACTGGGAAAATGCAATTGTAGAGCAAAAATATACAAAAAAACCAAGTCCTCTGACCCTGTGCTTAGATGTTGGGGTGATGTTATAAATGGCTGAGATATTCAGTGCTTCCCCAAAACTCCTATCCTCATTGCAGATAGGCAACAAATACGACTGGCAGTGGTGCTTTGAGTAGCTTTGCCTTAGTGGCCCTGAAGAGCACTCTGCCCAGAATGATAATACCACCATACAAGCTTGAGTCTTTAGCACTATAGGGAGGTATAATGGAAGGTGTATTAATGAGGGTCTCCAAGGAAGTGTGTGTGTGTGTGTGTGTGTGTGTGTGTGTGTGCATTTTCATATACACAAAGAGATTTATTATAAGGGATTGGCTTCTGTGGTTATAGAATCGGAGATCTGTGATTGTGGATCAGCTCTCAGCAGGCTAGAGATACCGAAAAATTGATGGTTTGGTTTTGAACATAGGCTTCACATTACTCGCCATGAAAGCGTCTTGCCTGTCAATCCGTTTCCTCTGTATAACAAAATCATTTCGGCTGAGTAATTTACAAACAACAGAAATTCATTGCTTACAGTTAGAGAACATGGGAATCCAGTGTTAGGTGAGGATGCTTCTTTCCTTCTGAGATGGCATCTTGTGCCTACATCTTCACAGAGTGGAAGGTTGAAGCAAAGAGGGTCTGGGCTAGTCCCCAAGAATGCTTATATAGGGATATTAATCCCATTCATGAAGGCTTTCTCCCAATGATTTAATCATCTCCTAAAACACCTCTTTTTTATGTTTGAAGCAGGGTCTTGCCATGTAATTCAAGTTGGCCTCCAGCTTTGATCTTCCTGCGTCAGCCTCCCAGGGTGCTGGATAATAGACATGGACCACCATATCCAACTAAGGTCCCACCTCTTACTGCTACCATTGGGCCTTAGATTCTAGCATAGGAATCTTGGGGGAGACACTTACATTTTCAAACCACAGCACTGCCTTACCTAAAACACAGACATGTTGTTCATGTGATGAACATCTACTTAATAGCATTTCCTGTTGAGTTAAAATTGGCCTAGAAAATATTTTTATCCATTTCCCTGTCCATGCAGATCTGTCCTTAAGTTTCAGTCTTAGGCCAAGTTTTGTCATTGCTCATGGACTTGTATACTTTCTTTCTTAGCCAAGAAATGAATTTTAAAGCTTGGGTTTCCCCAAACTGCTTGGAGTAAAATTTAGCCCTTAATTGCAGCAGCTGCTTTGAATTTACTCGGGATCATGTTCTTGCCTTTCTTGCCCCTGACTTTATTTATCTGTATGGATGGTTCAACTGCACGTGCTTTCTTTCCCATTAGACTGAGCTTTCTGGGTGCAGATGCTGAATGAGCCGAATGTGTGCTTAATTTCACAAGCTACCTCTCTTTTCAGAAATAAATTCCTTTGGGATAGCAAGTGGGAGTCAGCAGGAATGCTTTTCTCTGCCTGGTACTCATCATTTATTCTGTGGCTGACCTGGGATGTGGGTTGGTTATGTTCACTTGAGTATCATTTTATTGCTGTGGCTGTAAAAGGTTTGTGTGATGGGCCCAAAGCTTAGACACCCAAGTAGGGGGAGTAATGGGAAGACGTTTATAAGATGCTGAGACACTGGAGGGAGTCTCGATGGGTCGGAAAGGAAGGCTTTCAGCTCCTGAACTGATCTTAGTGAGGCTTGCTCTGGTAGCAGAATCAGAGATCATGGAATGGCTCTCTGAGTTTGTAGAGACTTGAACAGTGGTTAACAGCTACTGGGGAATTGGGTGCAGGCCTCGTTGAAAGGATGAAGCTGTGATCACATAATCAGCTGGGACAGACTGCTCAGCCTCTGGGTGTGGGCACTGACCCATGGTCAAATGACCCAGGCTCCTAGCCCTAAGAGATTGGCAGTTTTCACACAGTCCTAAGTCAAACAGCTGATTCTCCTTCTTAATATGTTTGGTCTGAAAAGTCACTCCGAGGAACAAGGTGATAGCAATTGAAGTGTTTTTCCCAAGAAAAAAATCTTGTCTTCTACTTATGGGCCAGGGTGGATTTGGAGATGTCCGACTTACAGTTAGCTGAAGGTGCAGCCCTTTGAGCTGGCTGTATATGCATCCTTGTGATTGCAGCCTCGCTCAGGAGGGACCTGTGGACGTATACTATATTAGTCTCAGGAAGAGTGAAGGGGAATTTTGAGGCTGACAGTTGGTTCTTGTTTCAGTCATGTGTCTGTTTTTCTTTTTGGGGCACCGAGCATTTGTGAGAGTTGTCCTAGTTGTTATGATGAGCTAACGGCACCTTCGTTAGAAATAGAGAAATCAGGAAGTGCAGCCTGATTTTGTAGGAAGATGATTAATTCATTTTTAGACATGTTGAGCTTGAAATGCGGGTTTGACACTTGGGTGGAAATGTCTGGGGTTTAGCTGAGGCTGATGCTGGAGGTCTATAACTTATTTCTTTGCTCTCCTATGGGAGGCTACTGGGGCTTAAACCCAGAGCCTTTGTACGGGGCTATAGCCTCAGCTGTTTTAGCTTTAATTTGAAACAGTGTCCACTGTGTTGCTAAATTGCCCAGACAGGACTCAATTTGTAACCCTCCTGCCTCAACCTTCCAGGGTGCTGAGATTACAGGCATGCACCCCTATGCCTGGATTACAATTTTATAATTGTGCTTTGGGTCAAAACTTTCTATGATGAGCTGCTTCACTGGTTGATCTCTAAGTCAGCAGATATCAGCCCTAGCAAGGTCGTGCTGCTATGTCTTAGGTTCAAGAGAAAGAGAAGAAGAGGTGTCCTGTTTGACCTGTCACTTAATGGTGTCACGGGGAAAGATGACAGAAGCCTGCTCCCTGGCACTGGACAGCAGCTTCACACCTTGGTCAGAAACAGTTCCTTTCATTTGGAATTTTCTAGCAACTGGCTTTGAGCTATAGCGAGGTGGAGGTACCCTGTAATTACTCTTGGGGACTCCGCATTCCCTTGTTGTCTTTCCTGCACGTTTACCCCTTGTCTCAGGAGGTCCCCATGGCCTCTGGCATAGATGCCAACTGTAGTCCAGAGACTCCAGAGACTTGTGCAGAGAGTGCCGGATGTGTGGGGTGGGGAGAGGCCCAGGTGCACTCGGATTGCTCAGCGCTTGTGGTGGGAGGCCTTCGGCCTCAGCGAGGGCCCCAAGTGGTGGGGAAATTGCTTCCCCTTCCAGAAGTTCTGTAGGAAAGACAGGTGTGTTCACATGCCCCGTCTCTCCCACTCCACTTGCTTTCCGCCTGCTGCCCTTCGTTCTGCCCTGATATTCAGGAAGCCTCTTGGCCACTCCTCTGGATGGGGAAGCAGATCCCGGGGCATTCAGCAACTCATTCCCCATAATGAGGAGTGTTTCTGGACAAGTTCGCTCAGGATCAGTGCTCCTTCTGCCGTGGCTCTGCTCTTTCTGCTTCTCCATTCTTCTTACCACCTATTTCTTTCCCTGGGCCCAGAGCCTCCCATGGTGGAACTTGTGCGCTCCCAGGGTGGCCGTCGAGGGGCTCGGTCTGCAGGTGTCTCAGTATGGGCTGCTTTGATTTCCTGCAAGAGTGCTGGAAGCTGCATCGCTCTGGGGACACCTTGAGGTGCCACCTCCCCTCACCGCGCGGTAGCCAGGTGTGATTGCCCCTTCAGAGTGTGCGTGCACCCAGCTGCTCACGTGAGCAGTGTCTGCGTCTCAGTCAGGCCTGTCAACTGTGTTTTAGGAATCCGCCCTGCAGCTGCTTCTGTCTTCTCAGAGCCTGGGCTCTTCTTACCCACTTTGAAGACTTTGCACCGGAGCACCTGTTCTTTTTTTTTGGGGGATGGTAGAAGTGAGCTGCCTGGCTCTCTGGGTGATCGTAGCCAAGATGGCCATCCTGTTTGGGACTCTCAATCCTTCCTTATCACTGTAGGATGTGAAAATTATTCAGGCCAAGAAGAGCAGCAGAGGGTACTCTCATTTGTATGAAGAGGCTGTCTGACAATGACATGGTGTGCTGTGGTTGACAAGGACACAGTGGTTCAGATTTGTAATTAAATGGGGAAAATGTCAAATGAAGGAAGGAGGAACCGAGGATCCTTTGGGAACTGCTTGGGCCAGTGGGACTCAGGGAATGTTCTGCCTTTCCCTTTGTCACTCTTCCTGTTACTTAAAAGGGAACAAAGGCCACCTGAAAACCAGGATGGGCCTTTATGGAAGGCGAGGAGGAAGGAACAAATGATGATGTCCTTCTCTCCCCTGTCCCCCATCCTCTCGTGAGCAGGGAGAAGATGCCGTTCCACCACGTGACCGCCGGCCTGCTGTACAAGGGGAATTACCTCAACCGCTCTCTCTCTGCTGGCAGCGACAGTGAGCAGCTGGCGAACATTTCCGTGGAGGAGCTGGATGGTAAGGAAGCCACCCTGGTTGGGAGCTTGGCCACCCAAGGGAGCCTTCTTTGGCCCTTGGGGACCCAAGAGAAAGTGGCAGTTGTGACCAACTCTGGTCATGGTACACGCACAGGGAAACAGTTTAGAGGCAGAAGTTTGCCTAAATGACTTCCTTGTATGGGGTGGACCTCATTGTTTGAGAGTCCACGGCAAATATTTTGGTTTCCTTGGATACTGACTGGGGGGATAGCCTCTACCTGCTTTGAGATGGAGGGTCCATCTCAAACCCTCAGAGGGTCCACCCTACCGAGGCTTTGTCACCCAAGCAGTTCTCTGGTTGCTGTAATCATTTTCGATATGGCCCAGCTGCAGGGGAGGGCTGAGCACTGCTAGTGGCTGTCTCTTGACTTGGGGCCATGGTGCTTTGAACACGGCCCAGCTCAGAATCGTCGGGAAGCGGTTCCAGGTGGAAATGGGCAGCAGTTATCGTAATGACTCTGTTCCTTCATAGCCCAGTACAGCTCTGGATGTTCAGGATGAGGGTTAGGGAAGGGAATAAATCTGGGAACACAATGGTGAAATTCATCCAAGGATAGTGTCCCATTGTATCCTGGATAAACCAATCCTCTGATTTAAAAAACAAAATTAAAAAGGAGAAAGAAAATGAGGTCAACTTTACAGATACTTTTGCCAAGGCCAAACCAGGATCAGTTGCCCTAGTGTGTTTTAATGGTGTGTTCTATTTTGCAACATGCTCAGATTTGCTTCTAATGCGGGGAGGTCAAAGTTACTCCAGATGTCTCTCATACTTGCTTTTAAATGTCATGGTCCAAACCATTGTGCGTGGCTTGTGTGTGGTGATGGGCATCACTTCTCACGAGGTCGTCGCTGGCTCAGGGAAGCCAGACCTGCTGGCCACTGGGCGGGAGGTGAGGATGGCCTTCCCTTCTTTCTTTTCCATTTTGTTTGCATGCTTATTTCAGTGTTCAGAGCAGGGTCCCAGGAGAGGCCAGGAGGTGTTAGAAGCAGAAGTAATGTGGGCAGGTCCACGCTGGGCAGAGCCCTGCTGGCCTGAGAGGAGCGTGGGCCCCTCAGATCTCTTGGCCCACAGTTGGCCAAAGGGTGTGCAGGCAGATGCAGGTCACCGAAGCAGGAAGAAGAGCCCTGCCATCCTCCAAATAGAGCCCCCCCCCCTGCTGACCACAGAGCAGGGGGCTGTGTCTTGGTCCCCTTGGGCTGTTAAAGCAATAGACTGGTTGGTGTACAAGCAGGTACTTATTGTTCATAGTTTGGGAAGCTGGTACCAAAGTTCTGGCAGTTGGCATTTGGTCCTGGGTCACAGAGGGCACTGAGTCCTCCTGGGTGGAGACAAATGAGCTCCCTTGGGCCTCTACCAGTTCCATTCGTGGGGGCTCTGCCCTCCTCACCCCTCCATAGCTGCCCTACACCTAATAGTATCTCACTGGTGACTATGTTCCCACATAGGCGTTGGGGGACACAGACATTTAGGACATGGCAGATCTGTCTGGTGAGTCGAATGAAGCCGGGGCTTTCTGTCACCCTTGGGAGTCTCTGCAGGGACTGGCGACTGAGTGTGCCAGATTTGGGGTGGGTGTTGGCTCGTGTTTATTTGAGCTAGTCCCCTAGGCTCAGTCGCTCATGCTCAGGACGGACCCAGGGCCTCCTACACGGGACACTGGGCAGGGCCATCTGTACATTTTGGTGAGCCTTGAAGAGGCTATGACTATATCCAGGTGAAGTTTGGGGACAATGTATGATTTTACAAGTGCCCCCTCTTTCTTCTCTATCCTGCTCTGAATAATGTGGAACTGATTCTCACTGCTAATCTGGCCTCTGTTGGGGCTGCTGATTTTTAAGAGGCTCGCTTGCTGGATCCTACCTGCCAGTGCTGGGGATCCTGGCTCAGGTAACCCCACATTTTTGGGCAAGCAGCAGAACCTACAGGCTTACTGTGCTGACTGGGCACAGGCAGACTGAGTGGGCTGAGCTGCAGGGAAAGAGGCTGGCAGGGATGCTCATGGCCCTCCATCCCCATTTGGGGTTCCTGGCTGCAGGGAGATCAGCACGTGTGGCTGGGGGCTGGCTGGAGAGGGTGAGCTGTTTGTCCTTCCAGAGGGTAATCCAGGCCCTCAGCCTGGAGAAGGGCCATTTATTTTCTGTCAGAAGATTCTTTCTCCTTATTTACTTATTTTTTTTTTTTTTTTTTTGCCAAGGTGAATGCTGAATTATGACTCCTTTTGCTCTATTACGAGCATCTTGGGGCCCCAGCAGGACAGCACAGATGTGCTCTGGGTCTAGAGCAGGCAGGCAGGGTCTGGACACTGGTGGGCCCGAGTCAGTCCACTCAACTGCAGATCGGATCTTGGGGAAGCAAAGTTCCTGAGCACCGTCTGCTTGCTCTTCCCTTGGGCTGCCTCAGGTCAAGCTGGCACTGAAGTTCTGCTGCTTGCATCTCTCACTTATCCTCAGAGGATGGCGGTGGTGCACAGGTTGTCACTGTGTTGGCTACTGCTGGGCACTGAAGCGTCTTGTTAGCTTGGCACGGATGTGTGCTGACCACCAGCTCCTCTGCCCTCCTCCTCCTCACACTGCAGCAGCTGTGGCCTTCTGTGTGTGATGGCCACAGGGGCGGCTTCTCTACCTATTTAGTATTTATCACCACTGATGCCATGTCCCCAGTGTCTCTTCCATTTGATGCATGGGCCAAAGGCACCAAGTTGATGAGTGATTGCCCTGCGGTACCTGCATTGTTCAGCTTTCCTGTCACAGAGACAAAGCACAAGACACCAACAAGTTGAAAGAAAATTGGTTTAATTAGGCTTATGTCATTGTGTTTTCATTCCATGGTCAGTTTGGTCCAAGCCAGGAACAACATGGTGGAAGGGTCAGGGAGAGATGGAGACACACATGCACACGTGCACACACACACACATGGAGAGAGGGGGCCACAGAGAAAGAGACAGAAACAGAGAGCCAAGAGTACCTTCGAGGTTACAACTCCGGTGACCACCTCCCACCAGGCCCCACCTCCAAATAGCACACTCAGCTCTGAACTGTGAACATAGCACTCCCATGATCCAGTGAGCTTCCACATGCATGAGACTTTGAAGAATATTCTAGGTCTAAGCCCTAATATTACCAATATGAAACCAGTCACCGCATCTCTAGCTACAATTCCCTCCTGGGCAGTTTCTATTTCTTTTCTTAACACAAAGAGCAGGAGAAAATAATGCAAAGCCACATAAAGCTTGACCAGATTTTACTTAGAAATCACCTGGCCAAATGAACTCCACAACACTGATTCCTAATTATTTATTCCTATTGATATCAGTTCACTTTCTCTTATTGTAATGAAATACTGAAGACTTGGTTCTTCATAGGAGAAAGGAGTTGATTTAGCTCACAGTGCTGAGTGTTTCGAGGCTGTGGTGCTGGTATCTGCTGAGTTCTAGTGAGGACCTTGTGGGGGCTGGCCACACAGTGGCAGAAGCATTTGGGAGAGCGGAGAGATGGAGTGGTGAATTGGAAGCCAGAGCCAGACTAGGAGGAGCCAGGATTGAACTTGAGTCTTTAAATGCCTCAGTGGGTCCGACCATGTCTCCTTATGTCATACTGGGAACCAGAGCCTTCCAACTATGGATAGCAAATTACATTCAGACCATATCTCCATCCATCATCCATCCATTCATCCATCCATCCATCTATCCACCATCCATTCATCCATCCACCCACACATCCATCCATCCATCCATCCATCCATCCATCCATCCATCCATCCATCCATCCATCCAGGAGTACAGGCCCAAATGCATTCTAGGAGGAAAGTTGATTAAGTAGAATATTCATTGCTTGTCTTCAAAGAACTTACAAATTATCCAGATAGTTTTTCTAAATACATTTATTAACAATGTCATGTGGGATTTTATAGACATAAGGATTATGATGTTTTTTGTTTAATCTTAATTTTTTCCATAATTTTATTGAGAAACAAAGAGCAATGAAACAGTTTCAAACCAAATTGGTAGGACAGTTTCAATAATTAACACATTCTTCCTAGTAGTTGTTGTACAAGATGCAGACTTGATATCCTATTTACAAGCACTATTAGAACAAATCCCTGCATTTATTAAGAGAATGAAACTATATATCTATCCTAACCATTTTGAATACACAGATACAAAATGGACATTCATCTGTACCCCTTTTCTTTTGTTAAGTTCCATTATTTGAATATTATAGGTGTGTTAACTCAGCAAAATATTCTAAAAGAGTCCAGTAGTCCATAATAGTATTGGGTCTTCCACTTCACTGGCAATGTCAGAAATTGTTGACCTGAGTCCCCTACAGTTCAACATAATAGCATGGCTTTACTTCTTATATTTTGTTTTTATACTTTTCTGCTGGATGGTTAAGACCAAGGTAAAGCAGGACCTATGCAACAAGAGTTGTAGCTTTTGGGTCTGATAAGGTCAGTGAAATCCCCTCAGGATATATCCTGAGATCCTGTACCTCAGATTGTAGAACCTTTGTCAGTGTCAGCCATGTGGATGAGTCACAGCCAATGCTTGGCCAATGAGCTCTCTGTGAAAGCCTGAGAGAATGTTTTCTCTCCATGTGACTCTCCTTAGGCACACTCTACATCATCGATCACTTTCCTCTTTGGCCCCATAATCTCCTTGATCAGAAAATTTGGGACACTACTGAGTTACATGACGTTACAGTACAAGTTCTCATATGTCTTGAGTCTTAATTGACCTTGGAAGGCTAGGGCCAAAATGTTGGCTTTCCTTGAGGCCATCCTTTTTCTCTAATTTTGGGCTGCAAACTTAGATTGTTAACCCTCCAAACACAAGCTTATTGTTATTACCATACAACCTAGGCTGTTAAGCTTAACCTCACTATCTGTCTGAATATCAAACCTCTTAGGCATAACATGGAACAGGTACTTTACATCAAGTATTGATATGTTGAACTTTAAGTCCCTACAGAATATGATGA